TGTGGGGCTCTGGCCCCTTCCCTCCTCCGCTGCCTCCCTTTCAAGCAGCAATAAGGTTCCAAGACACACACATCCTGCAGTGACTTCACCATGGAGATGGGAGGGCAGAGACAAAGGGGTGAGGGGAGGTCAGTTAATCCCACAGACACCACCAGGCTGGGACACACATGGGCTGGGGAAGAGTTAATTTTAAAACTAAATAGAAATGAGGTTATTGAGCTCAAGTTCTCTTTTCTGTGCTATAAACCCCAGGCTCTGCTCCCCCTTACCCTCCCCCTGCAACATGCCTTGCACCTTGATTATTCCCAGGCAGGAGTGGTGAAGTGACTGCGCTTGGGGAAGTTTACACCACTTCTCTAGGGGGCTGCAAAACTTGGAAATTAAATGGTTCAAAGGAACACCTCAGCTGGGCATCCCAGCCAAAGGAGAAATTACCCAAACAGGGAGACTTCAATTCCATATATATACTGAGTCAGAATCCCTATTTCCAGCAAGGCTGTGTCCCTTTGTAACTCAGGAAAAAATAGCGTGAAATTCAGCACCCCTTAGGCTTTGGCTCTGGTGAAGTTCTCCTTTTCACTGTCACGCTCGCTTGTGTCCAGCCAGTGGGATTTTAACCTGTGCCAAGTGGAGCCAGAGCCACTCCTGGTACTCATGGCTGCGTTCTGTTTCAAATTTTTATTTTCAGGGGTTTTAGCTTATCAGGAAATGTCATTACACTTCTCCTTTAACTTCACTCTTCTGCAGGCAGAACTGGGGAAGCCCCAGAGAAACTGCTACACCCTGCCAGGCTTGGATTTTTCCTACGGGCTGTACATCCACAGGACAGATGGAGGAGTCCCTGAAGGTATGACAACACCACCAAAATACAGACCTGCAAGCAGGTCCTAATGCTAACAGGGACCCTCCTCTCTTCACAGTGCTCTTCAATACGCACCAGGTTGGAGGTGAAGAGCTCCCAACATTCTCATTAGTATCACCCAAATTGCTCGGGGAATAGCAAAGCTTCTCTGTCGTACTGGAAACTTTTACAGGATCACACTGAGCCCAAGCAGAGAGGGATACAGCACCTGCAAAGGGCAATGCACGTGGCCACTTTCGTAACTTTGTTAGAGCTCCAGTTTTGTGCTCTCAGGGACAATTCCCCTGTGAAACCAGACTTGCTGAGCAAGCCAGGGTGGAGGGTGAGCAGACATCCAATGCGGGTGGGCGACATCCCCATAGGAAATGCAGTGGGATAGGATATGAAGTTCACTCCACAGTGAAGCCATGGCAAAATGCACAAGCCACGTGCATAGTGCACAGACATCAGCCTGGCTTCCCAAAGAGCTATTACCCAAGACGCCTCATCTGTTTTCTCTTTGTCTCTCGTGTTTCCTTCCACCGCCAGCAATAGGCCACTGGAACACAGTAAAGCCCCGGACTGCGTTAGTTCAGAAGATGCCCCGAGACTTCATCACCATGAATCGCGGTGCTCTGAAGGCCGGTTATACCACAGCCCCTGAATTTCGTTTGTACTACAAGGCCAAGGACATTCGTTGCAAAGATGAACGCAGCTGCTTCAAGAGATGTCCTCCTAAAGTACCTGCAGACTTCACTTACGGCATCAGAACACGGTAAGGGGGAAGGCTTGGGGCCCTTCTCGGAATGAGATTATCCCTTCCTACCCTCACATCTCCATCTCCCCCACATCTCAGCAAGCACAGTCCCCAAAACAGAAGTGTCCTGAACCTGAATATGCTGCAGCTGAGTCACAGAATCACTTCCATGTCTCATTCCACTTGTGTCAGGTAAACAACTGCCTAAAACTAATCACACACCACAACACATCCCCATTCCACCTGTGGCACTAAAGGCTTAGAACCTGTTAAAATTATGTTCAATGCCAATCCTTTAACTTACAGGAACATGAAGAGTTGTAAGCCAGAATAATGGCTTCCCAAGGTCAGAAAAATCAGAGCAACCGCATTTCTACCTGTTTTCACTGGTTGAAATACTCTGGTGCAGTTAAGGATGAGTTTAAGTTGTTTATCCCACTCTCTCCCACTTGTTAGCTCATCGCCCTGCATTGGGCAGAAACTGGTAGTACAGCAGGACAGAGGCAAAGCAGCTGTTCACTGCTCCCTTCTGTTTTGTGGGGCTCTCTCCCAAGGGGTGAAAGGGAGCTGCTGCTCCGCCAGCAACCCCTCTAAAAGAGCAGAAGCTGACCTGCTCATCCCTTGCAATGCAGCGGGATATTTAAGGTTTCACGCAGAGTTACATCTTTTGCATCAGTGTCTTCCAAAAGATTTTTCACACGGCATCCAGCACACGTGAAGTTCAAACAGGTATAGCATTTAGAAATGACCCATTCAACGTTCCCTTCGTGTACCAGCTCCCAACTGCCTGCTGTGCTGCTTTCTCGTGAGGGACTGTGCAACAGGAGTCTGCAGGGAACACCACTGGCACCTTAGGCTGCCCTCTAGGTCCTTCCACTGCCTGTCCTCCATGGGAACACGAGGGAGGCTGGAGAACACGGCAGCCCAAAAGGTCAGCGTAATTCCAGCACAAACAAGCTCTCAAAGCCTCTGAAAAAGGCTCTGAAGCAGCCTTGCTGCTGCTGGAGCACGGAGGGTTTTCTTGCTCTGTGCAGGTCTGGACCAGACATTAGGTTTCATTTTCAGAGCCAGATAATAATCACTACCAGAAAAATAACAGCTACAAATTCTAGAGAAAAGACATGATGAACAGCACCGTGTATTTTACATGATAGTAAATGGGCTTTGCATATGCAAATTGAATGGATTTTAAAATGGTATTTAATGACAATTTTCGTAGCAGACATTAACATTAATTGCATCAAAATGAAAATGTAGCATTAGCTTGCTGTTAGCTGCAAATGCCCCAGCTATAAAGCTTTATCTTTATCAGTATCAGCCCTCATCGACGTGACAGGGCTGCTCTGCAAATTGCAGGCAAAAGGGCTTTTATGCTGCAAAAGTATCCCCCAATGTAGACAAAAATCAACATCAATTTTGCTTTATTTCTTCATAAACGGAGGTTAAATGGCTGCCTGTAAGAAGTCTAGGCACGTTTCAAAAGTTTTAAGGAAAATCTGCAGACCCCACAACCGCAGAGTAGTGGGAAAGGGCTTTTAATTTAAAGTTATTATTGTACAACTTGCCTGCTCCTTAATAGCTACCTTTTATACAGACTGATTGTATTTATCCCTTTACTTTAAAAGCATGTTATAGACAAAATCAAATTACTGGGATTACCCAGGATTTGTAACGGCCATTTCAGTAAAAGTGGGAATTTAGCACACTTTTCCGTGACTGGCAAGTTAAAAACAGCATCTTTATTGAGCACTCCCCAGCCCAAGGCTGGGCCTGGTCACAGCTGACCAGGTTCAGCAAGACCTGCCCTGTTGGAGATGCCTTGGTTGTTGATGGATTTAAGTTGCTCCTGCTTTTGGACTCTACACCCTGTGCAATTACATTCTCAGTGCTGCTGATGGAGAAGGCACTCGCAACTAAGATACGCGCTTGTCTGGGGGCAGAGAGTGGTGGCATATGGTCTTTTTCCAGGACTCCAAGCACTTGCTTGCCTTGAGAAATGGCCACATTGACACACAGCTCTGGTGCACTGAAGTTTTTCAGTGAGAACAGAGCCCGCGTGCCATCCCATCGCCCAAGGCACAGCACAGACAGTACGGCTGGGAAGGACAGGGAGCAAAGGTGCCTTACCCATGGCGCTGGAAGTTGCTGCAGCCACCATCTGATGATGGCAATGCTCTGGGACAATCCCCAGAGCACCAACACAAACCCTCCCACCCTGCATCCCCAGCCTTGCTGCAGCTCTTCTGTGCAGCTGGAACTGCAGCCAGTGCCAGCATGCAGCCTCAGGGCCAGACTGCCTCCCTAGGACCAGCAGCACGGGGTTATAAACCCAAAGAACTCCGCACGGGAATGCGTTTGTGGGCCTTCTCGAGCCCTGGCAAAGTGTCTTCAGCCCCTTGGCAGGCCCCGGGCTGTACTGCCAGAGGCTGCTGTCTCCTAAAGGCACCAAGGTCAGGCATTCAGCCCAGGCTCACAAGTATGAGCTCTCCTGGATCATCCCAAACAGAAATGAACACAAATGCTGTGGTTGCTGTTAGTGCCTTATTAATCACCCGCTGGCCCTGCTGCTTGCTCTAGCACGACAGATCGCTTATGCCTCTGCTTTCCGCTCATGGTGGATGCGCGCTGCACAGAGCGTTTCACAAGGCAGCATCAGACACTGGAGTGAGTGTTCTGGAGCTTTGAGGCTGCTTTCCTTTCCTGGGATATTTACCTTCAAAGGTCACCCATACTCCTCTATTAATTCCCCATGGGCATCTTCCAGGGGAGAGAAGCAGCTCTGCTTTTTTGCTGATTCCCCCCGTTGTCTCCCTCCCTTTTCCCAGAGAAGTGTTTGCTACGAATCATGTGGCCAGCTTTGTTGTGAGAGTCATAAAAAGGACATTTTTCATATCTCCTTTTTCCTGCTCTCGCTCCCTTCTCTCCCTCAGTGTCAGACAGAGATTTATTCCCTCCCTGATGCCTGTGGCACTCAGAGCTGGGAGGGGTCAAGGGAAACACTGATGGGGCGATAATAGATAATACAGTGTTTCCCCAGGGTCTTGTCCAGCTCCATAGCTGATCCATCAGCAGGCAGTGCTTGTGCCAAGGTCAGTGGTAACGAGGATGTGGTAGGGTCCCAGCCTCTCCCATGGGGCATCCTCCAGTCAGGCTCCCCCCATTCACGCTCCAGCTTCTGATCTCTACAAGAGCTGCCTTGTGCAAGCCACGATTTGCAGGAGGGCACGTGTCCACGGAGCGCAGGCGTTGGGGTAACAACCAAGGTACACTGCATGCATGCTCAGCTACCCCTGCCCCAGCCCTCAGCCCCACCACAAGCAGGTCTGCAGGTTTTCTCCCAAAGAAAATGCCCATCATTATCAATCCCTCACCTCCAGGAGCTAAACCCATCCTATCCACGTGCTCTGTGCGTGACACAGAGCTCTGATGTGCGCAGATTAAGGTGGCTGTCCTCCTGGACCCAAGTCCTAAGTCCTTTCATTTAGAATAGCCTCACAACACAGTGCTACTAGCAGGTGTATTCAGCCCCCATAATCTGTGTAATGACCTTGTTTTACAAGGGGGAGGATGCAGGGCACTGAGCAGGCTGGGCTTTGATCATACTGGAGATCTGAAGACACAGAAGGTCTGTGAAGACCTCCAGGATCTTCACTGGTGCCAATACAGCTTGATATTCAGGGTGTATATGGAAATGCCAATAGATCTCCAGAGCCACACTTATCCTCCTAACCACCTTTTCTGGTGGAAGGTCACTGTGCACTGAAGTTAGCAAACATCAAACGGTCATTTTTGGAACTAGAAGTATGCGCGAAGCTACGGATGCTGTCTACAGCTAGATTTCTGATTTGCACAAGGTCACACGAGGAGTTTGAAGCCAAAACACATCAGCACACAGTTGGTACCCCAAGCACAAGTTTTCTCCTCAGGAGCTAGCAGTGCAGAGTACATCCTCAGTATGAACACACTGCCCAGCGTTTCCAAGGCTGCTTTTGGAGAAAAGATTTGCCTCTTAGTAGTGCAAGTTCTGTAATTCTGCATACTACATCCCAGAGCATATTCCTGGACACAGGGACATCACAGGCATGCCATGCTCTACCATCCTACACCTGTACCTCCTTCAAACCCTGCATGGCCATAACCCTGCCTCCAACAGGCTGCCATCCACTTGGCAGTTGGCCTGTAGGTTGGGCTGACCTTGGGTGTGCTGGCAGGATTTCACTGGCACTCTGTCATCCCCATGTCTCCTGCCAGGTCCCCCCTACTGTCTGCCTTTGCTTCAAATGTCCCTTTCCTGAATTTTACATCCTATTTTCCTTCTAACTTCATCTCCTCCTAACATTCCCTAAAACTGGTCTTAATCCTTTGGCAGCTGTTTTCACCATGTTCCTGCAAACTCACCTCTCTAAAGCATTTGGTCACTGCAGCCTCTCTTCTTCAACTTGTTACAATTGGCCAAGGGCATCCGTTATCAGTACCTCCTCTTTTCTTTCTATCCTTTGCAATTGTCCTAATGCCCCGTTGACAATTGTCTCCCTGGCCTTTAGCAGCTCAGCCGTTGCCTTGGCTATCCCTGCAGCTTCCTGCCTTAACTGACTGCTCTGTCCTTAGCTTTCACCTTCCCAAGAAGAGAGGTTTCAATGCTTCTACTTGGCAAGTGGCCTTTCTACCCAAATTGTCCTTGATGTTTGCACACAGCCAGAAGAAAGATTAGAAAGCTGCCCAAGAAGTGCTTAGATATTTCCAGCATCTCTGTGGCACAGAGTGCACCGGCAGGTTCATTTTGGAGACACTTAAAGAGCATTTCAGGTCATTAATATATGGCCCTGGGGAAAAAGCTAATCTAGCTACAGACCAACTGCAAAGATATGTCAAAGAAACAATACTGAAGAGCAGAGGGTGTTCCTGGAAAGAACCCACCAGGAAAAGCTGGGCAGGCAAGAAAGATGTCAGTAAGTAAGCTCACATCTGATCCACGACCACTGGAGGCCAAGCAAGCAAAGAGAGTGTAAAGCCACAAA